AAATTGGCTACTTTAGCCTAGATTTTGTAAATCAATTTTAAATTTACCACAAGTCATTGATTTGTGAATAAATCCCACTGTCTTTTAAGTTAAATGTCTGAAGCAAAGTAAAGCGAAGACTTGCAGGAACAATCTCTTTCAAAAAATGAATAGAACGGATGCAAGACTAGAAAGAATCTGATTTTGTTTAAATAGTTCTCAATACACCACAAGAAAATCTTCTTAATCAGCATTTCCAAAATAATGTTAGTTTCTAAAAAAGAAGTCATTCTGTAAATGAGAGATTCTTAAGCCAGTAGTCAAGGCATCAGAACAGTCCAATTCTGTTCCAAAGTGAATATAAGCAAGGTCTGGACCGCTTGTGTCCCTTGAAGACAAGGACAGTTTTAGAAACATTGCAGTAGAATGAGCACTTGCAGAACTTTAATACAGTAAGTCCATATGAGGGCATTTGGACTGCAAAATCCATACATTGTTCATAATTTTTAAAAAGGTAAACATTTTGCAAAATAGGCTGCAAATCAGCCCGAATTAGATCCTAATTTCTGTCTGACCCTACAGCTGAAGTCCAGATCCAAATGTTAAAATACAGTACTAGCTTAGTAAAAATAGGAACAAATAGTAAAAAAAACAAAAACCTTGACAGCGCATTCATAAAAGGTAAAAAAAGTTAACAAAACAATGGATATTGGGGTCGTGTTGACCATCATATTTACATTAGGAGAAATCCTTCCTTCTTTACGCCTCTTTTAACCCCTTAAGGACACATGACATGTGTGACATGTCATGATTCCCTTTTATTCCAGAAGTTTGGTCCTTAAGGGGTTAATGAATCAATATGACCAACATAAAGCACCTTTCAATCCGTTTGAAAATAAATAAATAAGGGTTCTATGCTGGACAAATCCAGACGACTTGAATACCCCAACAACTGGTCAGTGAGAGGGGACTGTTTGTGGTCTCCCCTTATCTCTCCACTACCCAGAAGTTCAGTCGCTTATGGACTCATCCTAAATGAATTAGCAGGGGGCCCCACGCTGGTCTGCCCTGCCCTTATCTGTCAGCATCAGGTTGGGGCATAATAGTAATGATAACCAATTTCTCCTCCTTCCATGTAACCATGTAAGCCCCCACACATGGGCTGTGGATGGGTCCTGTAACATAACAGAAAGATGATGTAATTTGTCACCCCCTGTAGTTTGCAGATAGAGGTGTATTAATATAATAGGAGGGGGTGCACACACACACACACATATATATATATATACACAGCTGCATAGAGTAATGGCAGAATATTTCCAACTATTATTTGTACCTGCAAGTTATAGGGAGGTCAATGAGATCCTAGTCAATGAGATCTTATCACACTTTGATTCGCTAGAATAGTCCTTCCAGTTATGTTGGCACCCTAATAATTAAAGGGTGACAATCTATTTCAGTAGGATAGCTCTTTAATAATTTAGTGTAGAAATGGCTGTTTATTAGATGTTTGTGTTTTTGTGGGATTTTTTCACATTATTTCTCCACATTTTGGCACATTGGATATACAAATTATACGGTGTTTCTTTACATTTTGGATATATATATTTATATTTATATATTTTGCATTTTGAAAGTTGGCAACTTAATAATTTACTCAAACTATATTACACATTGTAATTACACTACAGCCTAATATGATGTTAATAATACTACAAACAGTTTATATAATTGTACCCTGATAGTCTTATCAACTATCAGTTTAGCCCAGCTATATATATATATAAACACAGATGGTTACCTTGTTTTATTGTTGCATTGTATTTCATACAGTGAGTTTCGTTCCCAGTACATTCCATACTGTTCTCAATAGGGCACTGATCTCTAGGTTTAGAGGTAAAGCAGTTTCTACAGTGAAGTCCGTTTTTAGCAGGTTTCGCTGATTGGACATAAACTGAATAAGAAATTCTAAACGTAAATATAAGTACAAACCAATACAGTAAATCCTACATACAGAATTGTTGTTTCTGATATTTATATATTTATTGTTTTGGGACCAGACATGGGAGTTGTAGGAATGAGTTACTGTAGATGGCCAGTGATTCCTGGCCTTGAACCACATATAGATAAGGTCACGGCTTCAGGAAACTAGACATTCCGTGATCCTACTGACGAGAGACAAGGGAGCTTGAGGGTCACCTGGCAAATGATTGATATTAATAATCCTATTTTACTGCACTGGTGGATGGAAAAAAGAAAGTGACAAGAGAAGAGAGAAGGCTACTTCTCAAGGCCACTGAATGAAACCTCCTTTTTATTTTTAACCCACCAACTTACTGAGCATAGAGTGGTTATTACGGCAGGATTTAGTTCAATCTTGTACGTCTAGTCAGACAGTCTTCGCAGTAATTACACTTTTCCCCATGGTTATGTAAGTTCAGAATATATCTATATGTTTAGTAGGCTTGTGAAATCAGTTTCAAACCAATTGTTGCTTTATCAAACTTTTTGGGCTATAGGTAGGTTGTTCAAATTGTATAACTCTCATGTGCCACGTGAACATATCATGAAACAACCAAAACAGTCAATAGGCGAACAGTTTAATTTGTTTCATGATTCGGAGTTACTCCTATGGCACCAAAAAGAGGTGATGGATAGGAAAAAAGATGATTGGTGGCTAGGAGACATAATAAATATATAACAGATAAATATAGAATATATGAATAAATATATGTTGTCCTGCCTCAAGTTCAATTCCACTGAGCTAAACTACCAGGAAGTAACATGACTGGTTGCCTGATTGACAGCAGTGGGGGGAGTAACAAGTCAATTTATACACTTTATTGAAATCTGCACTTTTTATAAAATGAAAACAAGAAGAGACACTCTTCACACAAACAGCACTTCAGCAACCATTATTTAACAGTTTCAGGTATATCACATAACAGTACTAAAGTGAGACAGTTAAGATTGTTTCTATTTATATGATGACATACTTTTTTAATATAAATTATATAACATTGTTTTTGTACTTTATGTGCTCCTTTTATCACACTGCACAAACAGCATATGGGCAAAAGTATGTGGATACTTGACCATCACACCTATGAAAACTAGTTGGTCATCGCATGCTAAAACCACTGGCATTAGTTTGGATATGGCATGGCTTTGCATTCTAGAACAGCCACCCGTGTTCTGGGAAAACTGTAAAGAAGATTTTGTATTGTGTCACAATATTTACACCCATTCAGTCTAACAAACAGGATGGGCACTGATGTTGGATGAAAAGATCTAGTGAGCAATCATCATTTGAATTCATACCAGGTGTTAGAAACATAGAATGTGACGGCAGATAAGAACCATTCGGCCCATCTAGTCTGCCCAATTTTCTAAATACTTTCATTAGTCCCTGGCCTTATCTTATAGTTAGGATAGCCTTATGCCTATCCCACGCATGCTTAAACTCCTTTACTGTGTTAACCTCTACCACTTCAGCTGGAAGGCTATTCCATGCATCCACTACCCTCTCAGTAAAGTAATACTTCCTGATATTATTTTTAAACCTTTGTCCCTCTAATTTAAGACTATGTCCTCTTGTTGTGGTAGTTTTTCTTCTTTTAAATATAGTCTCCTCCTTTACTGTGTTGATTCCCTTTATGTATTTAAATGTTTCTATCATATCCCCCCTGTCTCGTTCTTTCCTCCAAGCTATACATGTTAAGATCCTTTAACCTTTCCTGGTAAGTTTTATCCCGCAATCCATGAACCAGTTTAGTAGCCCTTCTCTGAACTCTATCTAAAGTATCAATATCCTTCTGAAGATACGGTCTCCAGTACTGTGTACAATACTCCAAGTGAGGTCTCACCAGTGTTCTGTACAATGGCATGAGCACTTCCCTCTTTCTACTGCTAATACCTCTCCCTATACAACCAAGCATTCTGCTAGCATTTCCTGCTGCTCTATTACATTGTCTGCCTACCTTTAAGTCATCAGAAATAATCACCCCTAAATCCCTTTCCTCATATGTTGAGGTTAGGACTCTATCAAATATTCTGTACTCTGCCCTTGGGTTTTTACGTCCAAGATGCATTATCTTGCACTTATCCACATTAAATGTCAGTTGCCACAATTCTGACCATTTTTCTAGTTTACCTAAATCATTTGCCATCTGGCTTATCCCTCCTGGAACATCAACCCTGTTACATATCTTAGTTCTGTGGGGTTAGGCTCAGGGGTCTGTGCTAGCCACACCATTTTCTCCAAACTAAACTCAAATCATGCCTTCATGAACCTAATGTTGTGCACATGGGCCTGTTGTGAGTCTAGGACCAATATTTAAGGGGGTGGGGGGTTGAGGGCACATGTGATATAACAGTCAAAACTGGGGGTGACACTAATAATTTCCACTGTAGATGGGGTAACATGTCACCACTGGCTTTCTGGTGCCAGCATTCTGAGCATTCTTGTGTCAGACAACAAATTTGCACAGAATTTACATGAGCCTCCTGGAACTCTTAGCTAACTACACGTCTTAATTTTGTTCTTTCAACTGTTTAACAGATAAATCCCCTATTGGCTATCTACATGGATTGTCATATTAAAGTGACACCATAGGCACCCAGACCACTTCAGCTCATTAAAATGGTCTGGGTGCAGTATCCCTGCCCTTCTTAGTCCTGCAATGTAAATCATTTCAGTTTTAAGGAAACTACAATGATACATTGCAAGACTAAGACTGCCTCTGGTGGCTGTCAATCAGACAGCCACTAAAGTCATTCCTGGTGGTTAAACGAGTTTTGATCACCTGACTGTCACCAGATGTTCTCCGGATGCACACTCCATATGAGGACATCCAGTGTTAGGCAAATCACCATAGGAAAGCATTGATGTAATCTTTACCTATGGGGAAGGCCTAAGGCGCTCAAACCTTTCCATGCTGTGGGGGGTTGCGAAGGGGGTTGGGGGACAGAGGGAACTATAGTGTAAGAAATACAACTTTGTGTTCCTCACACTATTAAATCCTTTTAAAGGGACACTGTAGGCATGCAGACCACTTCGGCTCATTGAAGTGGTCTGGGTGCAATGCCCATGTCCCTTAACAGTGCAGTGGTAATTATTACAGTTGCTGAGAAACTGCAATGATTACCTCGCAGGGTTAACTTCATTTTGAATAGCTGTCTACCAGACAGATAAATCAATGCTTTCCTATGGGAAAATCCTAATGCAAGCGCCGCCATTGCACAGCGTGGGCAGAGCCTGACCCAGTACCGAGGGACATCGGCGCTAAATTGAAGTAAGTGACTGAAGGGGTTTTAAGCCCTTGAACCCATCGGGAGAGGGGGGGCATGAGGGAGGGGACACACACATACATACAGACATAATCAGATGCACACAATCACAGACATATACACACATAGCAATCTGCACAGATCCCAAGTGCGCCCTCTAGCCATGCCATGCTATGACACAATATCCTGGTTGATGGCACAAAACTGGGTAAGAGCACAGTAAGTAAAAGGCTCCCTCAGAGTGTCTACTCTGCAAAGTTTAGTTAGTTTAGTTAGCGGTGGTCTGGTTCTCTAGGTGGGGAATACATGGGGCGAATAATCAAGGAGGGTAATTGCCCCCCCTGGCTCCCCGTAGTGATGCCATAGACATGGGCCGATTCATGCTTGAACAGGGGAAGGTCTCCTCCAATCTGTTGTCACAAAATGTGAACTATCTAATTGTCTAAAATGTTTTTCTATTTCATAGCATTAAAATAACCCTTCACGGCAACTAAGTGACCTAGCCCAAATTCTGATAAATAGTTCTCATCAGTCCTCCACCAAACTCCAGTAGGTAGCGTTCTCCTGGCACCTGCCCTAATCCAGAAACTTTCATATGATTGCCAGATAGTGAAGCATGATTTTTCATTCTAGAGAGTGCTTCCACTGTTTCAGAGGCCAGTGGCATGCCTTCCACCACTCCAGGTGATTATTGGCACTATGTGTGCTGATCTGGCACTTGTGTATAGCTGCTTGGCCATTGAAATCCATAGCATAAAGCTTCTGATGCCCAGTTTTTAGGCTCATGTTGCTACAAGAGGCAGTTGGAACACTGTAGTGATTGATGGAACCTTTCAGTACTCAGTATCACGCTCTATGTGTGAGTATCTCTACCAATTCGTGGCTGGGCTGTTGTAGCTCCTAGATACTTTCACTTCACAATAATAGCACTTACAGTTAACCAGAGCAGAAATTTCACACGTTGACTTGCGGATAATGTAGCATCTTATGGTGGTGCCATGTTTAGATTTACAGAGAAGTTTAGTCTGACTCATTGTTCTGCCATTGTTTATGTAAAGAAAGTGCATGTGTGTGCTTGATTTTGTGCACCTGTTAGCAATGAGTGAGGCTCAATCACCTGAACACAGTAATTAGTAGGGGTGTCCACATATTTTTGTCCATATGGTGTATGTGTCTGCACTCCACTTGGTATATACCTACATGTTGGTGGAACGACAATGCATTTATAACTGTAACAGCAGCTTGTATTGAAATGGATTCTCTTATTTGGATTACTGATGATGCCATATCGGCTGCACTCACTGGACTTTCCACATCGTAAAACGGTCTCTATAGTTTCTTCGTTATCTGAAAACCATTGGAAAAGATATTATTTTAAGTAAGGAGTACAATTAGTGGGTATATGACTGAGGTAACATGTGCCTCTTGGAATGAGGAACGGGGTATAGAGCAAGGAATGTAGGGAGTGGATAGGAATCTGGACAGGGAATTAATAAATGGATGGGAGTGGAGCGACGGAGGGAAAGGATTTCTGGGTTTTGTGATGACACCTTAGTGCTTACCATTTTTTATCCAACTGCTTTCTGAAACACAGGCATCCTCATATTGAGAGCACAATTCACCTCCAGGCTTTGTATACACTGTCTGAGAGTTCACCACAGTATTTCCTGAGCAATATAGAAAATAATCTAGGGGAAAAAATAATAGATCGTTAATGACAATAATGCAAAATATAACCCACAATAGTCAAAATGCTTAAACCCTCAAATATTCTACATAGCTAAACTTTCAGTGTAATATTTATCTCGGAGTATTATTACTGAGTATAAATGATAAATTGACATGTAATGTTAGCCAGCTGTGAGCTTTTTCATATAATGGGTCACCTGATGCACCTTCCACTATAAGTCAACATAGACCCACATAGGCGTTAACAGGAGGGTATTTAAGGCTAAAGCCTTGGAAGTTCAGGAAGCAAATCCAGGAATCTCATACTTCAGGCATTGTAAATATCATCCATGGTTATCCTTTTGCCTTCCCTGGGCTGCATTGAACACAGAGGAATCGCCTTGGGCAGCTCATAAAATCTATAACAAATAATTTATATAATAAAACTTCAAAAGCCATTTTCTTAAAAGTGTGTAGTAGATAACTCCCTTATTTGTTATCCTTATGTGGGATTGTCATATTTAAGGATACCAACCTAAGGAGCTATCTACTAAACAAATCACACACACACACACACACACACACACAATCACAAACCTATACACACATAATCAGAGACAAACACATATTCAACCATAGACCTATACACACAATCACAAATACACACACACAATCACAGACCCACACACACATATATAATCGCAGACCTATACACACAGTCACATACATACACACACATAAACAGAGGTACAAACACAAAGACATACACACACAATTACAGACTCACACATACACATACAATCACAAACCTATACACAGCCACATACATACACACACACATAATTACAGATGTAAACACACACATAAAATCACATACCTATACACACACAATCACAGACCCACACATTCACATACAATCACAGACATATACACACACAATCACAAATATGCACACACAATCACAGATCCACACATATACAATCACAGACCTATACACACAATCACTTACACACACACACACATACACAAAATCAGACCCACACATACCTATACACACAAAAAACAAACACATAATCACAGTTATACACACACAGTCACAGACCCAAACACATAATCACTGACTTACATACAGAACTCCCCACACACACACAAAAATACACACACATAATCACAAACAAAACATACAATCTCTGCGCTCTTCCTACACCAGTCCCTTTCATGCCCAGCAATGATGTCGATGCTGGGATAACATCATATCCCGGCGGCTGGTTCACTACAGGGCGCACGATGAAGCTATCCAGGAGGAGAACAGTATGTAAAGTGCTCTCTTATTCCCTTGCCGCCCAGCAGCGCAGGCCGCGGGTTTAACACCACTGGTGTAGAGCTTAGTTCAGTGACTGGGAGCTAACATTACCTCCTCAATAATATGTTTTTGTATTAGAATTACATTTTTATTTTGATTTGTAAACGCCCAACATGTTTTAAAATAATTCCTATTACTGATGCGCTACTTACGAGCTGGCAAAGTGCTGTTTGTGGTTGCTGTGGTGCAGGTCACTGTACCTTCAATAAATCTTAGAAGCTTACTATTTTGACAAAATATTTCCGTGGCACATCCCTGAATGATCGTAGACACTGCAATACAAAACATCAAAATAATTATATAATCACCATGCCATGTGTTTTACTTTCATGCTGAACTTGATGGACTTTAGTCTTTTTTCAACGTAGACAACTATGTAACTATGCAACTATATGTAATGTTTAGTCTCTTAAAATGTTGAGAAAACACCTTAATTGGCACAACATGTGACTAGTTTTCAAAATTTTGTCCTGAGTTTAAAAATACCCAGTGTTTATGTGCTTTTTTGCTTTTTTTTGCAGTTATAGGGCTATAGGTACCAGTAGGATATTGCGGTTTCAAAACATACATTTTTAAAATGTATCAATAGTGACATTGTAACACTATTATCTGTCATAAATCTCTGAATAACACCCCACATGTACATATTTTTTTTTAAAGTAGACAACCCAGGGTATTCAATATGGGGTATTTCCAGTCTTTTTAGCAGCCACTTAGTCAAAAACACTGGCCAAAGTTAGCATTCATATTTGTTTGTGTGTGAAAAAAGTAAAAAACGAAATTGAATGCTAATTTTGGCCAGTGTTTGTGACTAAGTGGTAACTAAAAGAGACTGGACATACCCCATTTGCAATACCTTGGGGTTTCTTCTTTTGCAAATGGTATGCCATCATGGGGGTAATTCTCATTCCTGGGCTACCATACGCTCTCAAAGGCAACGTAACCAACCTGGCCATTTTCAATGTAAAAATATTTGACCCATATATTTCACCCTGTAGCTTTCAAAAATGCTATAAAACCTGTACATGGGAGGTACTGCTATACTCAGGAGACTTTGATGAACACAAATATTAGTGTTTCAAAACTGGAAACGTATCACAACAATTATATCATAAGTAAAAGTGCTGTTTGTGTGTGAAATTTTTTTAAAAAGTAACTTTCACTCACAATATCATCGTTGTCATATGTTTTACTGTTTTGAATCATTAATATTTGTGTTCAGTGAAGTCTCCTGAGTAAAACAGTACCCCCATGTACAGGTTTTAGGGTGTCGAAGAGCATTACAGAGTAAAATACAGTGCTAGCAAATTAAATTCTCTGGACTTTCGGCCTGGGTTGGCAGGCAGGTCCCTCAAATTGCAATCAATAAAATTACTTAATTATGTAAAAATGTTACCTAAATACACACATAGAATTTAAATATATATGCATATTTATATATTTGAAGTCTACGTGTATATTTATATAATTATTTATGTAATTTTGTATATGGACACATGTATAATATGTAATATGTAAGGTAATATATATATATATATATATATATATATATATATATATATATATATATATATATCTCAAAATACACTTAGAATAAAATTTCATATAGATATATAATTTTTTAAAATTTTTATTTTTAAATTTTTTAATTTAATTTAAATTACTTATTATTTGTATTGTATAATAATATATATACACAATATATATAGTTATTATATATATTATATATATACGTGTGTAATTTAATTATAAGTGTATTTTTATATTAATAGTTGTACATATTAATATATAAATACACTTAGTATGACATTATATATATGATATATAGACATATATTATATAGATATATAATATATGTCTATATATCATATATATATATATATATATATATATATATATATACACACTCATATATATATATTTTTTTAATTAACATTAACTTTATTTTTTTTTACTGATTTTACAGTTGCAGGGAGACTGCCTGTCAGCACAGATAGTCCCCCTGCAGGCAGACACATGGACACCTATTGTGACCATGTGATCGCTGTGTTGAGCGATCACATGGCCATATGGGTCCTAATCCGCCGTGGGGAGACTGTCTGGGCTGCAGGCAGTCTCCCCAAACCGGGAGCACCGCTGATCCCCGCCGGGGTAATGACGGCGATCCGGTAACTAACTAAGACCGTTAGGACGGTTCAGGACCGTCAGCGGTCGGCAATGTAAAAATGCCGATGACGGTCCTGAATTGTCCTCGGTCCTTAAGGGGTTAAACTAAAAAAGTAAGTTTACTTTGCATTTACCTTGAATTCTCACTTTAAGGAATAACCCTGTTTATTATGTCTCTTATTCGCCAGCATTTTTTTTTAATGATTTTGCCATATATCACACGAGCTTGACTGCTTTTATATACCCAACTGTGTAGCATTTAGTATCATACTCCACTATTAACCAATGAAGGCCATGCATATGATCTCCCATAAAAAAAACTAAAAACTAAAAAAAGACTAAAACTAAAATGGCATTTTAGTCAGAAGACTATGGCTAAAACTAAATTAAAATTTGCCGCCAAAATTAACACTGCACAGAGAGACTGGGCAAGGGACAAAAGAGACAGAGCCATGTTTGAGAGACAAACACCTAGAGGTGCTGTGAGGACACAAAGATGGATAGAGACTTTACCAAAACTAAACTAAACTAATCTACTGGATATTTAGTCAACTAAAACTAGACTAAATGTGAAAGTGCTCTGTGTATAGAAATAGGCACTTAGAAAATAAATACCACTAGAAAAGTCACTACAACACTGATATGGAAATCTCTCCTGTCCACCAAATCTTAAATATTGTAAAAATAAGGGGGTTGGAAGGTGACATCCACCACCAATCCCCTGAGTGGAGCGCTGTTAAATATACACTCACCCTTAATTTAAGGAGAAACATTTGTTCGATATAGATATATGAGGAAAAAATGGAGAGAAAAATCAAATGGTAAAGTATGTATAGTATTTAAAATGAAATAAAAAAATACATTTTAAAAAACTGACGAACATGGAGCCAAGTATAGGACTGGCTCAAATCACGACCACTTTGGTGTATCTAGGTGACACCTTTCCCTCTTCTTGTTTCTTCTCATACACTCAAAAAAGAAAATTGCTTCTAGTTTAATATATCAAGAACAAGGTGGAAGGAAATAGATCAAATGAATATTGCTCAACTAAACCAGAGCCAATTAGACTAACCTGGCTCTGGGTATTAAAGCTTGTTACCCACTAAAGGTGGGTAGCCCTTCTTTACTGGAGGTAGATGGAGCCGACAGCCAGTAGGACTTAAAATCCAATTGGATATATTTATTTTACATAAACAAAAAACATATTTAAAAATCAGTAAAATAATGTAAAATAATGTAAAATAATGTCCACAAAGAAGGCGTTCTGCTCCGAGACGCATTTCGCCCTTTCCCTTTCCCTAGACTAAAACTAAAACAATTCAGATGACTAAAATACGACTAAAACTAAAATGGTATTTTAGTCAAAAGACTATGACTAAAACTAAATAGTAATTTGCCGCTAAAATGAACACTGGTTTTAACATAATGTGTATCATTCCTCGATGTTTATCCACAAAATATTCAGCAAAATAAGAGATTTTATGCAGACACTTTATGGAATTAAGGATTTCAGATAATATATATATAATAAAAAAATAAAGAAAAAAAGAGTTAACTGCCCACTTGTCCAAATACCTATGCATTTAATTAAATAAATGGAGGATTTTTTTTTAGTAACTCCAATGGCTATTTAATGTAAGCCCCAACACTGCAAGGCAAAACTCTTAGGTGGGTCCTACATTAACAATTCGCCTTGCTTTCTTCAGCTTCAGGCAAAGAAATCTCTAATGAGACAGAGAGGGGTATTTTTCTAAACCCCTACATACTTATTAACCCTTAATAGAGAACACGTGGGGTGGGTGACAGCATTGTAACATGGCTGTGTGATACAAAAGTAAATACAAATACACAAAAATAAGTCCTGCACTCTAATTCCCACTGCTCCTGGGTGACAGCAATGATCATAGCACACATCAGCCCCAAAACATACAGTAAAAAACAAAGAAAAATAGTTTTTTCTTAGTTTTTTATGTAGTGTAGAGTAGAGTGAAATGCGTTGTGGATTTTACTATATGATTCATTGTTTTACACTAAAAGTATAATTTAGCGATGTTGCTGTTTTCTTCATAACACTTTTTAGTGTTTTATTTTATTATTTTCTATTTTTTTTTCCTGGCACCAGTTCTTCACTAGCAGACAACCATCCAAAGAATTCTTGGTAGAGATTGTTCCACCTATGCGACGTGATACAGAGAGTGGTTGGTCTTCTCCTAAAAGTGTGATTAATATTTTAATCATTATCCCTTTTTTTTCCTCTCTCATTTCAATTTTATTGAGTTTTCATAAAATTGGAGAAGGATACAGAAAGAGAAAGGGAAGACAAAGGAGGGGAAGATACAATTCTATATAATTACATTAGAGAGCATAGGGCATAGAGTAACGTTTATGTACATAGGTCTATCATTGTAACATTAAACATCTATTGTAGAGATGCAATGTAAGTCTCTGTCGCACATAGGAGTCTCCTGCTAACACAGCAGTTTGAGTTTATGGTGTCGACATGTGTATATTATTTAGGAAAGGTGGGGTATAGAAAGGAAAAGAAGGAACTAAGACGAGAGTAGTAATAACAAAATAATGCTCTTAGTCAAGGGTATCTATCTGTTTCAGTCATGGTGTAATGGTCTCTTGTGGATTTATTTATTTTTGCTCTGTTTGTTGACTATCAGAACTTAACTGTTTTTTTTTTTTTTAATGAGTGCATTAAGTACATACAGTCCATGGTTGCCAATGGTTGTATCTATAGACATGTGTTTATAGGTATAATATTGATTTATTTTGTCTATCAATCGTGTGTTACGGGGCAAGCTATTTGTAAGTGCAATCCGATTTCTGGCTGCTAGTATTATTAGTGCTGCTAGTTGTTTACATGCTTTGTGTAGGTTTGGAGGGAAAAGAAGGAAGAAATAAGTGGACAGTTTGGTAGGCAAATCTGTGATATCTGTTAATTCTCTTATGATATTAGAGCGGTTTAATTATAGAGCAGTCCCACCATATTTGCATCATAGTGCCTTTTTCAACAACATATTTCCAACTAAATGCTGAGTGGTGTAAATTTTAGGAAACCTGTCATACGTCAAGTACCACCAATAAATTCATTTTCTGGACTGGGGAAAAAATTGAGCCTGGGCATTTTTTAATTATAGTGGCGTTTTATCATCATCAATGACTAGCATATTGGTTTAATGCTCTTCTAGGGCAAACCATGCACTTCAGAGAGACCCTGATGGAATTTGTTCCCCAAGTAATTGGTTAAATCTTATAAGAGCAGACGTTAGGTTGTTAGTGTAGGACCTGCCAAAGATGGGGTACATTGATGTTGAGGCAGGATTATGCAATGTATGATCATATACTGTAACTAAACCCCCATTATTTTTGCCTAGATCAGGTGTTTAACCCCTTAAGGACGGAGCCAAATGTACACGTTGTGAACAAAACAAAATGCAAACAAAACCTGGCATTTGCGCTACATGTCTGTCCAACCGTAATTCACCTCTTTCATAGTAAATGCACCCACCCTTATTATATATCATTTTATTCAGGGGAAACAGGGCTTTCATTTAATATCAAATATTTAGCTATGAAACATAATTTAATTTCTTTAGTTCTACATGACAGTTTAACTGTCAATGTCATAATACTGTTTGCTTTTACTGCAATAAAATACACATATTTGTATTCAGCAAAGTGTCACGTGTAAGACAGTACCCCCTATGTACAGGTTTTATGGCGTTTTGGGAAGTTACAGGGTCAAATATAGCACGTTACATTTGAAATTGAAATTCTCCAGATTGGTTACGTTGCCTCTGAGACTGTATAGTAGCCTGGAAATGAAATTTACACCCAAAATCGCATACCATTTGCAATAGTAGACAACCCAAGGTATTGCAAATGGGGTATGTCCAGTCTTTTTTAGTAGCCATTTGGTCACAAACACTGGCCAAAGTTAGCGTTTACTAACGCTAACTTTGGCCAATGTTTGTGACTAAGTGGCTACTAAAAAAGACTAGACATACCCTGTTTGCAATACCTTGGGTTGTCTACTATTGCAAATGGTATGCCATCATAGGGATAATTTTCATTCTTGGGCTACCATAGGGTCTCAAAGGCAACATAACCAATCTGGTGAATTTTAATGTGAAAAAAATGAAACACAAGCCTTATATTTGAAAACACCATAAAACCTGTACATGAGGGGTAATGTTGTACTCAGTAGACTTCGCTGAACACAAATATTTGAGTTTCAAAACAGTAAAAAGTATTGCAGCAATAATATCGTCCGTGTAAGTGCTGTTTGTGCGTGAAAAATGCAAAAAACTTCACTTTTACTGGCGATATCATCGTTGTAATACATTTTACTGTTTTGAAACACTAATATTTGTGTTCAGCGAAGTCTCCCGAGTAGAACAGTACCCCCCCATGTGCAGGTTTTATGGTGTCTTGGAAAGTTATAGGGTTAAATATAGTGCTAGCAAATTAAATTCCCTTTACTTTCGACATGGTTTGTCAGGCAGGTCCCGCTAATTGTAATTAATTAAGATACCTAATTATGTAAAAATATTACATAAATATATATGTAGAATTAATATATGTATATATATATATATATAGATATATATATATATATACATATTTTTAAAATATTTTTATTTATATATAGGTATATATATAGTGATATATACGTATATATTTATGTATATAGATATATATATATATTATTTTGTTCTACGTGTATTTTGATATATATATATATATACATATTAATATCACAATACAGTTAGAACGAAATAACACACATCTATATATTTCTTAATTATTTATTTTTAATTATTTTTTTAATTTTATTTTTTAACGTATTTACATATTTTTTTTTTTTATATTATATCTAAATATACATATAACAATAATTATATATATATTTAATCAGTATCAGTCTACGTGTAATTTGCTATTAATATATATATAATTATATATTAATAGTAAAATACACCTAGACAGTGTATGTGTGTGTATGTATATGTGTATATATATATACTTAGATTATATATATATATATATATATATATATATATGATCTAAGTATATAATATTTTTTTTACACTTTTTAATTTTAATTTTATTTTATTTCCAGCCAGCAGGGAGACTACCTGTCATTACAGGCAGTCCCCCTGCTGGCAATACAGCAGGCAGCTATCCCGGCCATGTGATTGTCCGGGGGGCTGCAGGATGGAGGATCCGCCGCGGGGGGCTCCCTGGGAGTCCCCCCAACTGCGATCGCAGGCGTGGGATTGCCGGCGACCGGGTACAGTATATACTTGAGTATAAGTCTAGTTTTTCAGCACATTTTTTGTGCTTAAAAACCCCCACTCGACTTATACTCGAGTCACTGTCTGTATTATGGCAACTTAGAGAGCCGCGGCCGTCAGAGCCATGGCAACGATCCGCGCGGCAACCAGACCGCAAGACTTACAGTGGAGCTGACCGGAACGGAGGAGAAGGGAGCTGACAGGAGCTGCAGGAAAGGTAAGTAAATGCTTCCTGCCGGCCCCCCCACTTCACAGCCCATGCCACTGGACCACCAAGGATTAAGATAGCCCCCTCCCTGACCAGTTAACAAGCAGGGAGGGGGGACAAAAAAAATTAAAATAATAAAAAAATAATAATATACCCCCGGTTCACACACACTACACAAACACACACTCTGCATTATATACACAGAGTGTGTGTATATAATGCAGAGTGTGTGTTTGTATGAGTGTGTGTGTGTGTGTATATAATGCAGAAAGTGTGTTTGTATGAGTGTGTGTGTATATATAATGCAGAGTGTGTGTATATATAATGCAGAGTGTGTGTTTGTATGAGTGTGTGTGTATATAATTATAAAAATCACAGAATTTCATAGCCCCAAGTTTTACCCTCGACTTATCCACGAGGCATAGCATATTTCACAATTGTTGGTCACAAAACTGCACTCGACTTATACATGAGATCAACTTATACACAAGTATATACGGTAAGTTAGAAAAAAACGGAGGGCGTACTATTACGCCTGGCGGCATTTAGAGCCGCCTAAAATAGGGTGTAATAGTACGCCCTCCGGTCTTAAGGGGTTAAAAGGTGTTGCTGGCAGCAGAGGAGCAAGGTCAAGAGTCAAACTGAAAGTCAGAAACCAGGGGATCCACAAATAGAGAGCAAGATGCCAGAAGTCAAAAATTGGAAACAGGAAGCGTAGTCAAAGTCAGAAACTGAGAAGTATTACCAGAAATCATGAACAGGAACCAGGAGCAAGAATCAGGAACCAAAACTCAGGATCAGGAACCAGGAACAAGGACCAGGATCAAGAACAGGGAACCAAGACTAGGATCAGGAACCATAAACGAGAACTAGGATGTCAGGAGACAGAAGCAAGCACTGGAACATCTTGGCTATTTATACTAAGAGCTGATCACATTATCAGCTCCCACTCCCCTGAAGATGGAGCTCCAATGAAGGAGTTAAGGAAATTGGGTGCCATTTCTGCTATTCCCCTGTCCCTCCCCTTTGTCTGTCCAGGCCACCCTCCCACTGGCCCTCCATAAGCCCTCTGGCATGTTGCGCTGCCAACTTGCTGCGGCAGCTCCATGCAGAGCCTGGCACCAAGTAGCAACGAGGAGAGCCAGAGGAGCAGCAGTTAAAGTGCAGCGTGACAGAGCTGCAAGCATCTGAGGTGCACAAGTTCTGGCTGCAGGACACAGCAGGCTCGCAGGTAATTAGTAGCGATGGTTGGGAATGTGACACCTTCCTTGGCTATTCTACAATTAAAACAAACAAACAAAATAAAATCTTAACTAACTATATAAAAATGTTGGATAATAGAGAGAATTCATCTCCAGTGGTTAAAACTAGTTATACGATTAATTCTCTCTCTTTTGATCTACACCAGCTAGCTCAATTTCACTCCGTAGTAAGACTGACTAATGCAAGAAAACAGGGCATTGATTGGCTGATAAAACACTCAATCTGTATCAACTAGCAGTGCTTGATGATTGGTCCATGATTGGGGCCACAAGACATAGTTTGCTGCACTGTCATGGAATGCACCATCGCAAAGTTGCTGCACTGTCATTGGTAGCTACGTTGTGCGTGTGTGTTTACCAAATTAACAGAATTACATTTAATCAATGAGTTTATATTGTTTTTCTAACTAAATGACTGGAAATCAAAATGTTATTCATTTTGCAGCTCTTCTGACAAAAGCACGTCTAGTAAGCAGGAAGTTCACTATTATTTTACACCAATAAGTACCTTTATTACTTACATATAACTTACCGTTACCTACTGTTTGTGAAAAGCGTGCACATTGTGTAGCATTTTCATTGCATGGCATGGCATATTTCTCTACGCACAAATTAGTATCAGTGGCTAAACATGTAGGGCACAGATTCGGTTTCATGGAGGAATGGTTGTAAATGATCTCATTTTCAGCTGTAGGAAGCATTGACAGATTAAATATTTCAGTTAAAGATGTATACAATCAGGAAGGTATACAAATATGTAGCAAATGTATACAAAAAAAGAAAGAAATACTGGTGTAATATATAAATATATCAGGGTGGTCAGGGACAAAAGCTTTATGAAATTAATAAACTTGAGTAAAAGCTAGTTGTTTGTGGTGTGCCAAAGCCGATGAATGGGTAGGCCTGAATTAAAAGGGGGCCACTTACTGAAATATTAATTTAAGTGAGTGGTGAATGGGCTCTAAACTGACGGGGGACAACTCTAGCGTAGGGGCTCTACTGACACCATACAGATGACAGCAGACTGTAGTTTCTGGAGGGGAGTGTCTTTTTAATAAATATTTTCGTTACATAATATTAAAAGAATTAAGGGAAATAATTTCTTGGTGCACATCTAAATGAAATGTTCTTCACACACCTATGGCAGTTTCATCTTTAGTACTAGTAGTAAATGGCCATAATGTTGTGACCCAAGGAATAGTTGGACATAATCTGGTGATTATATATCACCTGAAGGTAGTGGGATAAAGCAAAACAGTAAGGTTCTATTACATAACAGTAGCAAGACACTGCAGAATTCTCTGGACATAACCATACAATGTGGCTTATATCATGGAATTATCTCCTAAAGGTAGCCACCCAAGGACATCATGAAAATTGGCAGCTGGAACTGCTGTGAGTATCAGTGGAAATGTATAATTTTATGTAAGTGCTCTTGTAATGCACATGACACAATAGATATCTTGTATGCCAGGAGGACCTTGTAGTAACTGGAGAGTATGTATCAGAATAGGTGGCTGCTGGTAAAAGCTTGGAGGTAAAGGGATGAGGGACACTAAGAAAGGTGCAGATTACTCCCAGGATGATAGTACTATATTAATATTTTATTATTTGTAATCTATTGGTGTAGCTCCTGTATCTCACATCTTTCTGAGGAAGGAGAAGAAGAAAAATGGGTGATCCTTGTAAAGGATTTGCTATTTTGCCTAATATCAGAAGCTTTAGAGATCTTATATTTCACTAGACACGAACAGACATAGTCAGATGGAATCTCTACTGTGGGCTCTGCTGGAAAGAACCTTCAAGTTCTAGAATGTGACTTAAAGCATGTGTTACCACTGGGGGACAATCTTCCTCAAATTGAAACATCAAGTTTTAAGGTATTTTTTTTTGTTAGTCCTTGCACTCAATCAAACATATAACAGAAAAAAAAAATCAGAAATAGCACACAACAAATAGAATGTGTGTTTATATAATGCATATTGTATTCCTATATTTACCATTAATAATAGCACATATTTGTAATTTACTCTTTTTTTTACCTCTGGTTTGGAACGTGTTGGCCACAAAACTGATGTTAATTTCTGCTAATGAGATCTCCATCAAGATACTTACGGAAAATCGGTGCTGGCGGAATGCAGGAATCTGTGTTACAGCACGATGTGGTGAAGGAAACGGTGATGTTGGGCGATGTCATCTTCCCAACATTTCCACAAAAACTTGGGTCACTACAGCTTCTCACAAATGTGTAAACCGAGTCTTTCATTTCTGAAAAAACAAGATTGCACCTTTAAACTTTTATGAGCAAAAGTTTATTCTACTAAAAGTATATTTTTTTACTTTCTGTCGTTACACATGGAAAGTGTGAGTGACTGTAAAATATTTGCCAGACAAAGGCCAAGTCAAGATTAACAGGCTAATCTTTCAGATATAGCACAAGTGAGCTAAAACATGTGATCTTAATGGAGACTAACCAGACGCAAACTGTTAAGCTTTAGTTTTTTTACACTTTGTTTTTCTTATAGGGAATCATTTTATTACATAATAGGAGGCTTCATGTTGTTAAAGTCTCTTATTTTTCTAGGTAGATTTCTAATTTTTTACTCAGCCCTGACTCTGACCAACCTTTTCTTAACAAGCCTTTTAATAAAGCTATTCAACTTGATGATTATCTTACACATTATCTTAGCAATGGCAATTTAGATTTAATGTAGTGTTTTTTGTTTTTTTTTAAGTTACTGTTGCGAAGAACGTATCCCACCATACTGCAACCATAACAAAGTTGCAAGTAATTTGTGGGAAATGTTTCGATATCATGTATACTAGAATCAATGACGTGTTTAGCACTGCATTTGTGAATTAGCCAGATATACATTTCTGTCTCCTCGCCCATAATTTTTTTTTTTAAATTAAACAATTACACAAATTTTCACTTCAAATGTATGTCTATTTCTTTGTTTCACCTTTCACCTTTTGTGTTTCTTTTTACAATACTCAAAAATGATTTAAATAAAGTGCTTTTTTTAATACCATTAAATCATGAGATTCTAATGGTGGTAATTTCTTTGACGTCTAGCCCTCTGGTGGGGATTGCCTTTATTGATGTTTGAATTTATGTTATGCCCTAAATTACCCATTCAACTCTTGTTGAGCACCAAAGCAAGAGAGGTTGTTTTCCAGCTGTGGCGTTTTGTTTAGAGCCCCAGTTAAAAAATGTTTTTGTAAAAGTGTATACTTTAGCTAGTATTATACTGTTTCCTTACATGCACGTTTCTCATTGACTGCTGCTATCCCTTATAGGCGCAGAACATCAGAACTCCAGACATTGAGCCACCGCTTCTGTGGAGAAGGCTCTGGCACGAGTTATCCCACAAATGTCTAGGCCCTGCCTGTGGTTTCACGTTTAGCAGAATATTCCACAGATTAAGAAACCTCACTTCGGGAAAAACTAAAAAAAAAAAAAAAAAACAGTCTGAAGCGCTTCCTATTGTGCAACAAACTAGGAAAAAAATCCTTCTTGACCGCAGAATAGCAGTTCTAGGATTGGATCAAGAAGCCATTACCTCACTAATTTAAAATGTATATCCCTGTATGCAATGTTTTGCAGGTATTTATCCAATATCTGTTTAAATATATGTATAGATTTTGATAAAACCACCTTTTTTAGGCAGAGAATTTCACATCCTTACTGTTCTTACTGTAAAAAACCTTTCCTTTGCCTTAGACTAAATCTCATTTCTTCCAGTCTAAATGTGTGACCTCTTGTCCTATGTACAGCCCTATTTATGAATAGATTTCCAGACAATGGCTAGTATTGGCCTTGAACAGGGGAGGGCTGGCAGCCTCAGGCCTGGGGGGCAAATCCAGTCGAGTGGCCCATTGCACCCCCAAATCAGCTCACCATCCATGCCCACCTTTTCCTGGTCTTGTAAAGGATATTGATGTTATGCTAATCAGTAGCTCTTTTGCCATACCCACTCCTATGCGGCTCCAACTTTCAATGTTGTTAGAGCACAGGCTGAGAATCTCTGAGTCTGTGCTCTGACTCACTAACTGAGAACTGGAACCACAAGGAAGAGGATATGATCTGACTGCACCTACTGCTGGTGCGCACCAATCGACCACCAGGGAATTGTTTAAATTAAATATGCTGGTGTCCCAAACTTGTGTACTGTGTTGGCTGCCAGGCGCATCTGTTGTCATGGCGCCCTACGTGACCACACAGCTTGCACACCTCAAAGGCTGGCCCTGCTGACAGACACACTGGCAATCACTCTCAATAACACACACACACAAACCCTGACAGACAAACACTCACTGACAGACAGACACATACACACACACACACACACTGACAGGCAGACACACACATTCATTGAAAGACACTTACTTGACAGATACACTTACTGACACACACTGACAGACACCAGTGCCATCTTAACAGCATTAAGGGCCCCCAGGCAAAGCAGTGCACTGGGGCCCTGCCTACACAAGTTACAGGAATAAAAACGTAAATTATAGATACAACCAAGAATATATTTAGAAGTACCTCCAACAAATGCAATGCATACATACACACAGACTGCTGAATACAGTCACACACTGACTGCAGAATACACGCATACAGACTGCTGAATAGACACACACAGACAGACTGCTGAGTACACACAAAGACAGACTGCTGAGTACTCACAGACAGACTACTAAGTACACATAGAGAGTGCTGAATACATACACACAGTCCGCTGAATACAAACACACACAAACATACACACAGACGGCTGAACACACACACAGACTGCTGAATACACACACACACTGCAGTGAGGGGTGCAGTGTATATGTGTATGGCTGTGGTGTGTGTGGGGTGCTGTGTGAGTGTGGGGTGCTGTGTGTGTGGAGTGCTATGTGAGTGGGGTGCTGCGTGTGTGTGGAGTGCTATATGTGTGTTGGGGGCTGTGTGTGTGTTTGAGGGGTGCAGGTAACAAATGTTTTTTTTTGTTTGTTTTTTTAATACTACTATACATCAAATAAAATCTATATGCCCCCCCCCCCCACCATTCTTCTTACCTTTGGTGAAAGAGGCTGGGACACAGCCAGCCCTGGTGGTCCAGTTATGAATTCTGTACAACCTGCAGCTTGTCTGGCTGCAGGCTGTCTTCTGTCCTCCTGCGCGCAGTGAGTGCTGTGTGGAGCATTGCCATGGTAATGCGCGGCAACGCTCCACACACCCTGCTTGTGGGAGGAGCGGCCTGCCTAACAGGTCGGCCTGTCCTGCTGCCCTAGGTCCTAGCTACCTCTCTCCCCGATTAAATGCTCACACTTATTATATATAATTTTGTTGAGGAGAAACAGGGCTTTTATTTTAAATCAAATATTTATATATTAAACATAATTTAATAGGAACAAAAATATTTTAAAATATGTGAGAAATTAAAAATTGGTTTACATTTTTTTTTTTTTTATTCTTTATTTTTATTGTGCAAAAAGATGTACAAACACGTCTGCAATGCCACAATAGCGGTTACAGACCTTTTAAAGATGACAACATTGGGACATAGGATTAAACTGCACATTTTTTAAATGTTAGAGTAATGCTGAGTAAGTCAGGAGATTAGTAAATGCGAGTAACACTAGCAAGAGGTGTGTTAACACGAAATAAAGTTACATGACTGTCGTAGATTAGTAGCATGCTGAATTGCTAAACCAGATGCTATACAGTTAGCACTACAGGCATCTAGGAAGTGATGAGGCACTCCACCCTATTGTGCCAAACATAGGGCCTGATTCGATATGATAATGCAGGCATGATAAAGCAGGCATATAACTTATAATACGAACTTGGTGAACAACAAAAAAAAATAACTGTGCTGCTGTAGCTTGACCCTCATTCTGCCGCCCCCTTATACAGATTAAAGTTCTGGATGTGTGCTCCCATATTAGATCAGCTGATCCCTGTCGCCCTCAAGGGCAGGTGGTGTGTAGAAGAGTTTATGCTTGGATCAGCTGTAGTGTAGCAGGGTGAGGGATGTCTCCGGCCCCAGGCTTGTGAGTGGGCGTGCAGCCTTAGATAGCTGTCCTGGGAATTATTGCCACCCATGTCCCTGGATCTCGTTTTGAGCCTTGACATGGTGGTGTGCTTGGATGAAGGTGGCTTGGTTATTCGTGACAGAGTCGTCGTCCGTGGTCGCAGCCACGTGGGTATGTACTCATGCTGTAGGTGTCGCTGTGGGCGGCGCTATCTTCGTGCTCGCTTCTGTCTGTGAGGTGTGCCCTGTGGTTGGGGGCGTGAGGAATGTGCCTTCGTTAAGTAGTCTACCGGAGCATGTGCCCAGGCATGCCGTTATGTCAGTTTCCTCCAGAAGGCTGCGAATATGGAATCCAGCCTTGCGAAAATGTCAGGCCTCTGTGTCGTGTCTCATGGCCCAGCGGAACCCGCCGCTATTTTGGGTTTGGCTGGTGCCAATTGAGGATGCTTCTCCAGAGCCTGTAGGGGTTTTTCAGGACCAGGATAACCCCTGCCGGTCCAAAAAGTGTCCCTTTTGGGTCATTTATGCACTGTTTGTGGCGATTATTGCCTGGAAGAGCAGGAGCAGTCCTGTTCTGCGTCCTCTCGGCTCAGCGGTCAGGTTCCGTCCCCCTGATTTATTTATTTTTAGTTCTGCATGGTATTTTAACTGTGAATGTCATAATACTGATTAGTTGTTACTGCAATAACACATGCTTGTATTCAGCGATGTCTCCCGAGCGATGTCTCCCGAGTACAAAAGTACCCCCCATGTACAGGTTTTATAGTGGTACACGGTACATTTTTCAGTTTATACACATTGAAATTTGCAAGACTGGTCATTAGTGATGTACCGAACGGTTCGCCGGCGAACGGTTCCTGGCGAACATAGCATGTTCGCGTTCGCCACGGCGGGCGAACATATGCGCGGTTCGACCCGCCCCCTATTCGTCATCATTGAGTGCGTTGACCCTGTACCTCACAGTCAGCAGACACATTCCAGCCAATTAGCAGCACAGCCTCCCTAGCAGACCCTCCCACCTACTGGACAGCATCCATTTTAGATTCATTCCCAAGCTGCATGCTTAGTAAGAGGAGGGAAAGTGTAGCTGCTGTTCATAAGATAGGGAAAAGCATAGCTAGGTTAGGGATAAGGGTATGCTTTTTATTTATTTATTTTTTCTATGTAATGTAAATGCACTTAGTTGTCTGCCACTGCTGCCAGCTTCTGTGTCAGGCTCACAGTGCCCATTTCCCCAGTCAGTGCCACCAATTACATCTGGTGTCACAATAGCTTGGATTTAAAAACAAAAAACTTTTTTCACTGTTATAGATTGAATAGCAGTCAGTTGTCTGCCACTGCTGCCAGTTTCTGTGTCAGGCTTACAGTGCATACTGTGCCCATTTCCCCAGTCAGTGCCACCAATTACATCTGGTGTCACAATAGCTTGGATTTAAAAACAAAAAA